TTTTTCATTCATTATCATAGGAGATGTATATAATGGAAAGATTTGAAAATGAAAATAATTAAGCGAACTTTGTGGAATAAAAGATTTAGAGAGAATAGTTGCATGTCACGAGTGACCGTGTAAGTAAGAATTAAACAAGTTATATTTTGAGTGAAGTAGTTTTTAACTAATGATAATCTTCAAATATTTGAACACATCAAAAGTTATTTCAGGTCAATAAAAATTTAATCCTTCACTATTCCTTCATTTTTAAGTTTAAAGAAGTATCACAATCATTTGAATTATTTTTAAATGGTGTATGATATTATTTTGTTTCATTGCCTTTCGTTTCATAATTATATTTTCAGTCTATTTTGAAACTTCTTTGATTTCTCTTTTTCTTTTTTAAATTTGTTATTGGAATTATCTCAACTTACGACTCGCTTTCCGGAGTTTTTTGACCACCAAAAATATTAATTAATATTTGATTACGGTCATTTTACCCACCTCCATTCGCATGAAGAAGAACTTCTCTTTCTTGTTAAGGAATTTTCGATAGTCTGTTCCTCCATAGTTCAGTAGTTCACACAGTACTTTTTCAGTTTTACTGTTTGCCTCGGATGCAAAATTTACTGACAAACATACTGCGCTCATCACACAGAAACTCACACATTCTATGTCGCTGTCAACCTCGAGTGTCGAGATAAGCGAGCCTGCCTTTCTCAAAACCGACCCCTTGATTCTTTTGTCGAAGTTGCCATACGTAAATGGGCCTTGTTTGCCCACACGTAAGGAAACATCCACCGTACAAGTCGTAATCTCGAACAGGACGAAAAAGAAATAGAAGAGTTGGAGTACTTGAATTAGTGCTGTTGCTTCCATTACGACAGCTGCTGTGAGACTAACTTTTGAGATATTTTTTTTTTCGTTTTTTTTACATTACAAAGTATTTTTGAAAAATCAGGCAATTAGCAAACAAGATGATCATAATTTGCATAGTTTTCTTTAGTTTCAAATGCGTTTATTTAATATTAATGACTTCTCCAATTATTTTTGGGATGCCGATGAAAGATCAAACAAAAGGTCTAAGAAATCGAGTCACAGCTATTTCGAATATTTAAAAAAAGGACTCATTCATATCTAAGGATTTAATACTTTTTTTGTAGTGCTACGGCACAAGTAAATCCTCCCAAAAACAGATCAAATTATAAAGTTGGACAACTTATCAGAATAAAACACTTCTATGTATATATATMTAATTTTGGAAATGTTGTCAGAACGTTGTTAAAGTTAAATTTGAACAACGAYTTAAAGTTATGGATTATTTATACCGGGCGTAGGTACTCAGTAGGTAACTATTTTGAATTGAGAAAGGAATATTTTAAGTAAAGATTCAAAATTATAACGAAAGTTTTGATTTTCGGAACATACTCGACTTTCACATCCCCATAATGCCTTGCGTTTTGGGGGGTAACCAATCAAAAAACTGTCCCAAATTGAAAGATTTCTTAATTGAATTTATACTATACCTGCTTTTATCTGTACAATAATGATTATCAGTTTATTCCAAAATATTGTTGCGTGTACAGAGCATCAAGAGTTTTGGTCTTACAAAAAATGTATTGAATTTAAAAAAATGTTTAAAATATACCTTAAACGTCTTCAAGCTTCTATCTTTTTCTGTTTTTTTTTTACTTCTTCATTTTATATTTGGACACCAAACAAGGTATGTTCAACATTGTCTGATCATCCTCCAGCAAAATAAGTGGGTTTTTACCCTCTGGTTACCCCCCAAAGACGCAAAGGATTATGGGGATGTGAAAGTCGAGAATAGATTTCAGAGTATTTGGTTGGTGACATTTCTTTTATTGTTTTCCGTTAAATTAAATTTACTAGTGAATTTATATTCGACCTTATATTGTTATTGATAGCAAATCATCTGGAAATATTACGAAAAATCATGAAAATATTTGTTGTGACTCCAGAAATAAAAGTAGAACAAAAGACATTGTCGGTCGGAACTTAAAATTTAAAATCCGAGTCGAAATAGATTTCAGGCTTTGGAAGTAGTCAGATAGAATACTTTGAGAAGTTATTTTGACATGTTTTGGCTTATTAGCGTTGCTATGAGATATATATATATATATATGTATTAATCGCTAATTATCCCCCTCCCCCCAAGTCAACTCCAAAAAGTCACGTGATTGATAATAATCAATACATTGCCGTCAATCAAAAGAAATTGCTGGTACCTTTACATACTCTTAGCACATATCAATGAAAAGAATGTGAAATATGCCAACAGCTTCGAGTGATGGGCTACGCTGGCAAATTGTTTTAAATTAAAATTTAGATTCCAGATCGATCTCCATCCGCTTTTATTGAGATCGTTGGATAAGSTCAGTCAAAGCATTAGGTGGGACTCTCGGCTGAAATGATACTGACATAAGCATATCAGTGAAATGACAAGATGAAGGTTCGTGGCAATGGGTCACTAAATTATTAAAGAGAAGGTGCTGCCCACTAAAATTATCTTTTTTTTTTTTTGTTTTTATTTATCTTTATTTCTTACATAAAATATATATGTTTTAACTTAAAATCAGTAAAAGAAATTGTTCATCTGCAGATCTCAGCCATCGCTTCAAAACGGGGTRCTAGCTTTATGCCATATCCAAATACACCCACAAACTTTTGTCCTCATTGACTGTCATGGGTTAGGGCATTTGAAAACGTGCTGAAAACATTTACATTTACATTCTGTTTGACATTCCCATTTGATATCACTCTTTAAAAAAAATACATTTCCATAAAAAAATATATGTACATGTATGTATGCATAATAAATATAATATGTTGCTATGTATGTAAAGTCTATTTGATAGCTTGGTGACTGTTGAATGGGTATCTATACAAGGCATCACRTACAGCAATTTAATGTATGATCCCTGTAATATTTTGTATCCAACTTTTAAAGTACATCATATCGCTATAGACTCCAGGATACCCACTATCTGCACAACCCCCAGAACTCCAGCTTGTGGCGCCCATTAGATACCATTGTCCATTCTTAGTACACACAAGTGGGCCACCACTATCTCCCTTACATGTTCCTTTGGACTGGCCAAAGGTTCCTGCGCATCTCATTCGACTTGTGACGTCTTTTATGCTGTTATAGTGGTCCTTGCATGTTACTCTTGACATGAGAGGTATTGCAGCTTCCTGGAGGACATCAGAGACCGCAGAAAATCGAGTAATCCTTCCCCATCCGGAAACGTAACACGCTGTTCCTGCAGCAAAATCRAAGGATGGAAGGCAAACAGGAGAAACATGCGCGTTGAAGGAGATCGGACGTTTCAGCTTGATAAGAGCGATGTCGTARTCCAGATTATTGTAGTTTTTGTGGACGATGACCTGCTCTGCTGGAATGTTCTGTTCTGYACCGTCTGCTCTGTAAAGGAACCGTTCACCTGAAATGCGAGAAGATCAGATTAAGAACTAGATCTAGAATCATTTTATTTGATAATAAATGTAAATATTTTTAATTGTAGTTCAACACTTTAAAATTATAGTATAATTTCCATAGTTAACTCTCTCTCTCTCTCAAGTCAAAGGGGATCTCCTAATAAACGAGCAGACGTTTGCATCGACCATTGTAAGTATCAGAACACTAACAAATAGTCCTTTGAGGTTAAAAATTGCCTTCGGGTATTTGATTGTGGTCGCAAAAATATGGTACAATGATTTTAGAAGAAAATCGAGCAAATAGGAATGTGCCTACCAAGCGAAACKTTTAAATACTGTGGTTCTACAGCAGTGTGTCCAGAGGGACTTGGTTCTGTAACACAATGAGCTGCTGTCACGATCCAGTACCGGTTAAGAATTGAACCACCACATATGTGCCGTAAGACAGTTGGGCTTTTTTCATAACCCAACTGAACCTGCCAAGGCCAAGCACCATGTTGCGCAGTTGTTCCASCCACGATTTGAGAATGGATTGAGCTTCCTATGATCTTCCTGCCGCAAACTAATGTGGGAAACAGATAAAAAGTTAGAAATCAAATCCCAGTCAAGAAGCAAGTAAGTAAGGAGATTGCCTTAAAGAGAATTAGAATCACACGTGCTTTGGAATGGGGAGAATAAACAGATCAAAGGTGCTTGAAGCAAATAATAAGGAAAAAAGGACGAAAATATGGATCAGGAGTAGATCGATGTAAGATGTAAGAAAGATTGATGTGTCTTCACAAGTGTGAATGTTAATCAAAAATATTATTTTAAAAAGAATAATACGTTCTTTAGAATGAGAAAGTATAATCAGCTTAAAAAAACTTATACTGCAAGATTGTACAGTTGTAGAACCTTTGAATGTGCACGTGTCTTCTAAAATGCCTTAAAGAGAATGTCACCTTTCTTTAAAATGGGAAATTATGAATCAGTGAATAAATATACCTAAAAACTTTATTGTAATCGATTTTTGAAGTCCTCTACCAATAACGTTCTCAGCGGCACACGAAAAGGTTCCATTTCCTGATTGAGACACGTGTGTCAAGTTAAAGGCACCGTTAACTGACTGGCCGATCTGTACTCCATCGTGGTAAAATACATAATTCGTTACAGAAGGAATTGCTGTTGCGGTGCAGATTAACGAGAAGGACTCATTAGGGTAGATTATGGTGGATACTAATGATGTCGCAAGCGATGGAATGTTTGGTTTGTCTAGAGACAAAAAATAAAATAAAATAAGATAAACTAATAAAATAAAAAAATAAAAAAATAAAAATTAAAAATAAAGGGACGGTCCATGCTGTATTTATTGGACGTGGGGAATGGACGAGAAAATGGGATACCTTAAAATCAAAGTTACCCTGAACTGGGAAGTGGTCTTTGATAGTTGATAATATAAGATACTTACGTTGAACTACAATGGATGCCTTAGCAATGTCTGGTGCTGCTATACCATTATCTGCTTGACACTCATAAATTCCAGCGTCCTTCTTTTGTATATTGGTCAAATGAAGTTGCAGTCCATTAGGAAATTTTGCAGAGGTATCACCGGATTTCCTCCATGTTATCACRGGTTTGGAGGAAGAACTTGCGTTACAAAACAATGTTACGTTACCACCTTCAGTAACGGTTGTGTTTAAGGGGGCAGTGTCGATAGAAAGAGGTCCTGTTCAAAGAAATGTGAAAACGGGTTTTTAAGCTTCAAAAAGACAAAACTTCATGTAAAACAAAAAACTAACACAGTGAATGGCAGATAAGAAGATACAAAATATACAGCTGAAAGACGGATGACAGGCGAACAATTCAACATGTATAAACTACTAATACTTACCATATACAATAACATCTATCGAAGCATTGTGGTTATCATAGCCTATCACGTTAGCAGAATAACAGGTGTATGTCCCTTGATCAGATGATTTTGCCCTTCCAATTCTGTAGTCTCCAGTTGTACTTGTGATCAAGTGTTTGCCATTGAGGTAATATTCATAGCGATTGGCCGGTGGATTTGCCATGGATGAACACTTTATGTTGATAGGATTGTTGCCAAGTACATAATGGTTGGCACGATCACTGATTAAGGTTGTAGAATATGGCTTGTCTGAAAGGATATGGTTGGTGAATGATGGTTGGTGAATGATCACTTTAATGCAATATCGAASTGTTCGTGGACGGATGAATGGATGGATGAGTGGATAGCTGAATGACTGACGATAGATAAAGACAGACAGACAGACAGACAGAGMAAGAGAGATTGATGTAAGGAATATAGATGCTTACACATTATATTGACAGACGCTTTGGCCTTCGCTGCATTTCCTATCCCATTTACTGCCACACACTCATAGGTTCCCATAACATCCTTCCTCGCTATTAACGACAGTTTTTCGCCATATGCCACTGGACTTGGACTGCCTTCTTTGAACCATTTTATATTCGGTCGAGGAATACCAGTTACGTTACAGTGCAGACTGATGTTACGAGTAACGTCCTCGCCAATAGAAACATTTTGTGGTGCGCCTATTATTCTTGGGATTCCTGTTGAATGGAAAACATATTTTTATCAGTTCAAATAAACAAAAACATGCTCAAATGACACAGATTTTGTATTATGCACATTTTTTGCTGATGAGGAATGACACAGAAGCTAAGGCTCAAGGGCGTTAGGAGGGCGTTATTATTTGCACTTCGCATCTAATAATCTTTGATTTCAGTTACTGGAAAAATAATTTCCTTTCTTCAAGCATGTCTTTGTATAAATACTCTCCCCAAAAGCCAAGCATATCGGCTACCCATCAAACAATGCAACCTTCTTTTTTTCAAATTTGTTGTATACTAAAGGTGATTATAAAATGACAAAATAAAGAACAAGAAAAGGAGAGGTAATCTCAGGATGYTTGACTTACGCAAATGTATGATAACCGTTGAGTTAGCTTTGTCCCTGCGCCTCTCGTTATCAGCAACRCACGTGTAGAATCCTTCGTCATCAACTGAGCTGCTTGATATCGAAAGAGTTTTACCAGATGGAARTAATTTGCCTCTTGAGCCCACTTTGAACCATGTTATATTTGGTTGTGGGTTGCCTGTGGCGTTGCAGAAMATAGAGAAAGGTCCAGTCTCGCTCACGTTTTGTGATTTTGGAAAAAGGGTGTGTATGGCAGGTTTTTCTAGGGAAAAAAAAGGTTTTTTTTAATATTTGCTCCTTCCAATCACGACTAAAAGAAAAATTTTTCACACAAGATCTGTCTCTAAATATAAACAGAACAGATTTATATATCCACCAGGTGCCTGTCACTAGCCAGAGGTGGTTGGAGGATGCGAGCCTCAATATGAGGTTCAATATCTGMCCAAAGTTGTCAAATGGATGATAATGGCAAACACGAACTCCCTTCTACAAAGTCCTAGTGACGGCCATATACCCTATGCACCTCGTGGATATAAGCCACTAAACCATTTTTATAGTTTAAGCCAATTAACCAATTTAACAATTAAAGTAACTACGAATGCACTTACCATACACAGTGAGAGGTTTCACTCCATAGCCGATACCTAGGCTGTTAGAGCAGGTACAGTTATATTCTCCTTGGTCAGATGATGTAAAGTTATGAATTACGCCTGCAGTAAGCTTGTTAYCATGGTGATATAATTTGCATGTTGCATTAGGGTTCGCATCTGTTGTGCATGATATGGCAACAGTATCCCCAGGCATCGCTGCATCAAAAGACACGTTAAAGTGTGTGGTGGTGTTCATTGGCTTGTCTGTAAAAAAATAAAATTCTATTGTTGAAACGCTACACGTAAATTCCACCCCACATTCAGTCAAAAATATGCATTCAACAAATATCTATTAAAATTAGACTAATAGATACACAAATATTTCATATAAATAATGTCGATTTTCATGGCAGAAAAAAATCAAATGACTGATATGTTGACACGATGTCGACTCTCCTCAGTATCACATATTGATGGTTTTCAACCATTCCCAAGAGAATTAAATAACAAAAGACACGGCGGCCATGTTGGAGGATATAACAAAAGAATTCATTGGCAATTTTTTTGTTAAGTTCCTCCAACATGGCCGCCGTGAAAACCATCAATAAATGCAGATACTCACGTAGCACGAAAATACGAGCTGTTTTTCTTTCCGATCCATATTTGTTGGTCGCAACACATGTGTATTCACCACCTTGATTAATTGTGATTCCTGTTATAGTGTAATTAGAATTGGAATATCCACCAGCCACTAGTTTGTTATCACGGAACCATTTGACCTCAGCAGTGGGAGAACCAGATCCAAAACAGCTTAAACTAGCGTTATTTCCATTGGATACCGTCACACTGCCCGATATGAACGTCACCTTAGCAGGGACTACAATATGGATAGAAAAAATGTTATTCAGCATTCTTCGGATGCAACCACTTGACTCAAAACCTCTCGAGATTTAAATAACAATGAAACAACCGCCATTGGTTGATATAACAATAGAAGCTAATAAGGAATGCTTTGTTATCGTCAACCAACATGGTGGCTATGACGTAACATGTACTCCATGGATTGATAGAAACAAAAATGAAATAATGAAATTGAAGACTGTATTTAAAAAGATTCACGAATCGAAATCGCAAATAATACATACTCTCTTTGTGAAACATCTATATTTATAGCGAGTTATCTGAGTTATGGTGATATTAAAGTAGTTATAAAACTCGATCGTAAATGCGTACCTGCGCTTTCAGCATATTTAGTGCACTGGGTGTCATTTGTAAATTGGATGTCATCAATAGCAATATCACTTCGATAGTCCAAACCACATACTCCTTCAAACGCCACCTGGAATTGGCAATACATAGAGTAAGAAATCTATATTGAGCTTATAATTCCCGCACCGGTACTTTCACATACTTTAAACGCATCATAATTTCTATAACTTATGGAAAATTAGATAATGAATCCAGACAAATAACTACCTGAAATAGGTCTGTAAAATTCAATGGTACCATTGCTTTGTACCATTTTTGTCCTTGGTTCCCACTGAGTTCCCAAATCGATTTTTTTCCCACCTTTACCCTCAGTGTATTTATGGTAGCTCCATACATGTTGTAATAGAATGACAGGCATCGTGTCTCAGCTCCAAGTAGCGGGCTAACAAGTTTAGCTACATCTCCAGTAGAGCATTCGGACGTCTCTACGTAGACATAATGACCTAAATGACGTATAAAGGAAGAAGATGTTTTAACATATTTCAAAAAATATYGAAATAGCACGTTTGCATGATGGCGTCATTTGATTACCAACACCAAAATTCCATGCACATTTTCTTTTGTTCAGTTAAATAGGACCATTTGATTTACTATTCTCATGAGAAAATGCAAATTTGAATAAGAAAGAAAATTCGCAAAGCACCTTGGCAGTGGAAGTCAAATGACGCCATTATGCCAAAGTCCTGCATGGGTCTGCCCATGTAACTTTATGATATCCCTTATCTTACCTTTSCCTGAAGTGTGATCAGCAGACGGACCCGTGTCAGCGGAGTCTGTTTGACCACTTTTTCTGACCCAATCGAATTCGTCTGTGACATCATGTTGCCAGTAGCAGTAATCGATGTCAAAATTGCATCCAGCAACTAAGAAAATATTTAATGAAATATAAAATATTTTCATTACAAGGGCAAAAGATTTTAAAAAACCTTTGGTTTAGTCTTACTATATGATTGAAGTGACGAAGTAAATAGAGAATACTAAGGAACGCCCCTGTAATACCAAGAAGCAATTGCACTCAATGACAGAGTAGTATGTGTAAAGGTCGAAACCTAAATAAGATAGGCTTTGTATTTTATTCGTCTTGCGGTGCAATGTTTTACCATTAAAGACCACGTGTCATTCCCACGATGGCGCATTAGCTCGTTGTCTAGGTAATGAACGTAGTCTATAATGGAAAAAAAAAGGTCTATACAAGTTTTTGTTTTCTACTTGTAAATATATAAAGTACCTTTCGTATCAACAGCTGCCCTCTGACAGACAACACCTGCGTCTTCACTATGAGAACAATCGTGAACACCCCAACCAGAGTGTTGACAGGAAGCGAGGGAAGATTCAGTTCCAACACAYGCAACTTCATCAAGCCAAATGTCCTTGACCGTACCTGGTCCAAATCCACCTTTTACAACAGCACTGGTTGCTCCGGGTAAACCTAACATACGACAAGCAACGTGGGCGTCTTGGATGTCCCAGTTGTCATCACAAATTGTTCCCCACTGTTCGTTGTGGAAAAGTTCGACTCGTCCTTCGGTGTAAGTTTTGCCACCAACCAGACGAATGGGGATTTCTATGAAAACAAGCAATGTTGAGAAATAATGATCCAAATTAATAAAATATCGAATTCCAAAATAATATTACATTGGAGATACAAGTCAGGGCACGGCTATCTCAAGGCGTCATTGCAACTCTATTTTTCATTTTCGATTACAAACTCAGATGTAAACGATTCGTTTACACTGCACTCCTTTTYTAAATCACTAGTTAACAGACAATTTAGAATGTGAACTTGCCATATGAGATCATACAATGACATCACATGGTATTAGAATATCGACACTCGAAACACTCTAGTATTTATACCATAACTTACTTGGTGGCGGTGGAGTCGTTGGTTTAGGAGTGGTTGGTGGAGGCGGAGTAGCAGTATTCCCACACTGGACACCGGCATCTTCGCTATGCTTACAGTCATGCACTCCCCAACTTCTATGTGAGCAGTCCAGGAGTGAACTTTCGTTGCCTGTACATTTAACATCATCTAGCCAAATTTGACYCGAACCTGGGAGAGTTGGGCCAATAACTCCGCTGAACCAGACGTAAGGATATCCCAGCATTCGGCATGCAACAATACCTGCATTTACGTCCCAATGATCAGCACATATGGTGCCCCATGTCCCATTATGTAACACTTCAACTCGGCCAAAACTGGACGTTCCACCAGCTAAGCGGATGGAAAAGGCTGCAACGAGTAATTAGTAAATAAAAATAAGCTATGAGGTAATATGAAGACGGATCGATCAGTAAGATTTATGATTGAAGAAATTGTGTGCAGTCAKAAAGCACGCGGGGATTGGCAGAACACGAATGAAGTGTTAGGAGAAGCACGACGCGTAGCGGAGTGCTTCTTGACTCTTCTTGAGTGTTCTGCCAATTCCCAAGTGTTTTATAACGGCACACAGCACAACAAGCAAGTTTTTTTTATTTCTTTTATAAAGTACAAAGTACAATAACCGTTATTTTAGATAGCACACGCTCCAAACCAATCAGAACGCGACATTCACAACAGTTAWTTTATAAATAGTGATAATGGACTTAGAACTTATGAAACAACATTTTAAAGATTTTCTCCTGACTTACCGGGCATGGTCGGTCGAGGAGTTGTTGAAGGTGCAGTTGTCGTATTAGTACACCAGACACCGACATCTTCGTCATGGCCACAATCAGACTTGCCCCATCCATCAAAAGCACAGTCTTTCAATGATTTCTCACTTCCATTACATTTCACTTCATCCATGAGAATCGTGCCACTTCCTGGAATCCTATCGCCGAC